TCCCTTCTTGGGGCTTTAGTCAACTGTGAAAGAAATTAGAAAGAATGGCAAGTAACATTATTCTCCCATGTAATTATTTTGTGTTTTTAGGTGAACTGCTTAAATCAAATAAAAAGTAATCTCTTAAAAACTAGCAAAAGTCTTCGACAGAATCTAGGAAAAAAACTGGATAAGGAAGACAAAGTTAGAGAGTAAGTAACTACCATTTTTTTAAAATTATTACTCCAAAATAATGCTATGAGATGAGCTTGTGTCAGTTTAAAATAGATTGTTTATGACACGGTGTCTCATGCCTGTAATCCCAGCACCTTGGGAAGCCAAAGCAGAAAGACTGCTTGAAGCCAGGAATTTGAGGCCAGCCTGGGTAACATAGTGAGACCCTGTCTCTACCAATTTTTTTTTTTAATTAGGTGGCCATGATGGTGTACACCTATAGTCCTAGCTACTTGGGAGACTGAGGCAGGAGGATCACTTGAGCCCAGGAGTTCAAGATTACTGTGAGCTATGATCCCAGCACTGCACTCATGGCATTCTAGCCTGGGCAACACAGCAAGACCCTGTCATTAAAAAAAAAAAAAAAAAGATTGCCAATTGCATGAAGGTGCTTTTGTAGCCAATGTTTTTTGATGTAATATGCAGCTTGAATCACCTATTTAATAACTGTATCAGGGTTTTTTGTTGTTTTCTTTTTGAGACAGAATTTTGCTCTTGTTGCCCAGGGTGGAATGCAATGGTGGGATCTCGGCTCACCGCAACCTCTGCCTCTGGGTTCAAGCAATTCTCCTGCCTCAGCCTCCCAAGTAGCTGGGATTATGGGTATGTGTCACCACACCCGGCTTATTCTGTATTTTTAGTAGAGACAGGGTTTCTCCCTTTTTGTCAGGCTGGTCTCGAACTCCCTACCTCAGGTGATCTGCTCACGTCGGCCTCCCAAACTGTTGGGATTACAGGCAGGAGCCACTGCGCCCAGCCTATATCAGTTTTTAGAGAAGGTACTGGCTCTTCTCCTTTTTGGTTGTTCTTATATAAATAGATCTATGCTTAAGGAAAAAGCTTTTTGTTAAGTTACGTCCAAAGTAGACCAAGTATTTTTTTTCCTCTCAAGGTGCCAGCTTCAGGTATTTCTTCGTTTGGAGATGTGTCTGCAATGCCCTTCAATAAATGAAACTCCCGATGATATGGAACAAGTAGTGGAGGAGGCAAGTATCTAGCTTAGTGCCATGGGAATAAGCCCTAGGTACTTTCAGAGGGCATCTGTCTAGTAATGTTCTAAAATCTCCTTTAGGTGACAGATTTGCTGCGCATGGTGTGTTTAACTGAGGATTCAGTGTACCTAGCACAGTTTCTGGAGGAAATTTTGAGACTGTAAGTTTGATGGTTACTAACTTAACTTTAAAATTGTTTTATCAAGGCCTATATATGGTATTGTCTCTGAATTTTGGAATTGTAGGGACTACTTTTTTAGGCTAGGTGAGGGAGGGAATAAAGACGGTAAGATGGTAATTCTCTGTTTCATATTCAATCAATCTATTCCTCAGGTATATTGACTCTATCCCAAAGACACTTGGAAATCTTTACAATAGCCTAGGGTTTGTGATTCCTCAGAAGCTGGCTGGTGTCCTTCCTACAGATTTTTTCAGTGATGACTCCATGACACAAGAGAACAAATCACCAATGCTTTCTGTGCCTTTTTTGTCAAGTGCTCACAGATCAGTGTCAGGCAACACTGAATCTGATGAACTAGAGGACCTTCGTACCAGATCAGCCAAGAAGAGAAGGTGAGAGCTCGAAGAATCAAAGGAGTTGCTTGCACTGTTCTAGTTCTGATAAAAGATATGTTTCAGCCACAGTCCATCTTTGTCCATATAATTTGTTAAACTAATAGCTGCCCTTATGTCTGAATTAGAGAAGCCAACTATTGGAATTCCTAAATAGGAGCATCTGACAACCTTTATATTATCTAGGAAATATGTAGTCATGTTTTACTTAACAACAGGGCTACATCCTGAGAAATGCATTGTTAGGTAATTTAACATCGGAGTGTGCCAACCAAAACCTAGATAGTATGCATTTTTTCATGTGGAAAAGCTAATATGCCAGTATTGTTAATGAATATCAGTCATTTCCCCTACTTGATCTGTAAAGCCAATATACCAAGTGTCATAAGGTTTCTACATATGCTTTATTATAACCTATGGGGCCATTGTCATGTGTGCAGTTCATAATTGAATGAAACATTGTGTGACGGTATAGTGTTGATTTTCTATTTCACAAAGCCCTTCTGTACTGTCCACATGAGGGCTCCAAGAACTAGGCCTTTTATGAAACAAGCTTAGAGTTTCAGCTTTTTAAATTTCCCTTGATGCTTTTCATTGTTCATAACTAGTTGAATTTGTTACTTTTGAAAATTCTGGGGTGTCTTGTCTTGTTATAAATCCAGACCAACCCTAAGATAACTGGCCTTTATCTTGATTGTATTTTATTTTACTTAGATTCTAGTTCCATTTGAATTTAACTGTGTATAACCTCTACCTAGTATGTATTGACTATATCTTTTTCTTTTTAAAAGGAAAAGTGTATTAATAAGGCATAAAAGCATTGCTGAGGTTTCACAGAATCTTCGACAAATTGAAATTCCCAAAGTGTCAAAGAGAGCTACGAAAAAAGTAAGTAATCCATCCAGCTTGAGATAACACAGTAAATAAGAACAAAAAGGCAGTGTCTCTACTTTTAAGAAAATGAACTTTGGAGGATACAGAAATAATATTAATTTTTTTAATGACTGTATATAAAACTGTAATAAAAGGAATAAATAAATACAAACTTAAAGAGAGTAACAATTTTACTTAAGAGTGTGATAGTAAGAGGTAATATGAAGAAAACAGCAAGTAAAAGGAATGAATTAATTCAGAATCTTTAACGTAGATAAGAAAACTCATAAAACAGTAACTAAAATAAGCATAAGCAAAGAGGTCACTGGAAGAGAATATGCAATTGTAATAGAACTTTGGTTGCATATCAGAAGGTACTTTTCAGAATGTTATATTTTACTTCAATAACAAGTTTAGGCCAGGCACAGGGACTCACCTGTAATCCCAGCACTTTGGAAGTCAGAGGAGGGAAGATAGTTTGAAACCAAGAGTTTGAGACCAGCCTGGGCAACATAGTGAGACCCTGTCTCTACAAAAAATAAAATTTAAAGAATTAGCCAGGCGTGGTGGCATATGCCTATAGGCCCAGCTATTCAGGAGTCTAAGGCCGGGGCAGGGGTCGCTCAAGCCCAGGAGGTCAAGGCCACAGTGAGCTGTGATTGCGCCACTGCACTCCAGCCTGGTGACAGAGCAAGACGTCATGTCCCCTCTTAAACGAATGAATGAATAACAAATTTTTTGAAACAGAAGATGATGACCATCATGAAGCCAGGAGGTAGAGTAGTCCTCCCTTATCTGTTGAAGATATGTTCCAAGACCCCCAGTGGACGCCTGAAACCACAAATAGTACTGAACCCTGTATATAGTACTGTTTTTTCCTGTGCATGCATACCTGTGATAAAGTTCAATTTATAAATTAGGCACAGTAAGAGATTAACAACAACAATAATAAAATAGAACAATTGTAGCAATATAATGTAAGTTATATGAATGTGGTCTCCCTCTCAAAATATCTTACTGTATTATATCCACCCATTTTGGGGCCGTGGTTGATTATGGCTGAAACCATGGAAAGTGACATCACAAATAAAGGGGACTATTGTTTCTGTGGTAGTTGGTAAAAGAACTTGAGGCCTCTATTGGTTGAAAAAGAAATCTAGGTGGAATCTATTTACTAAATAGAAGTAATGTCTTGCTAAGGAAAAAAGGGAGACTAAAATTACAATGAAACTTTTCAACTGCATGAACTATCTGAGAAGAGTTAAAATTCTATGAGAACTAGCTTTAGAAGCATTAGTCATTATAATGGTGGTTTGTTCCGTTTCTAGATATATGTAGCTTTCCTTTGGAATTGGAGGTGGGATTTCTTTTAGTGGTTAGTGGTGTTCATTTTCTTATACTTTACCTGTGAATAAAACGCAAATCTTACATATCTCAAAATCCTGACTGAAGACTGGAAAATCCAAAAGTGAATGGCCGAAAGTTGCCAGGCCTTTATTCTCACTAGATTTTACAATGATTTGCAGATTTTCTAGCACACTTTGAAACCTGTTTTCAATTGAACAAGACAGTTTTCTTCTCTAAGATCAGAATTACAGCTGGGCACAGTGGCTCACACCTGTCATCCATCCCAGCACTTTGAGAGGCCAAGGCAGGAGAATCACTTGAGCCCAGGAGTTGGAGACCAGCCTTGGCAACATAGTGAGACCTTGTCTCTCCAAAAAAATTTAAAAATTATCCAGGTATGGTGGCACACTCCTGTAGTCCCACCTACTCAGGAGGCTGAGATGGGAGGATCGCTTGAGCCTGGGAGTTTGAGTTGCAATCCAGCCTGGGCTTCAGAGAGAGACTGTCTCAAAAAAAAAATTGCCAAGGTCAGGATTTGATTGTTGTTAGTAATGTCTTTTCATGTCAAAGTTGGTACCATAGATAAGTGACAGTTGTTTCACTGAAAGGACCAGATGTTAAGTTTTTAAAAGAATAAATCTCAGTTCTCTGAAGGATGAATATAGTTAACTTGGGAAGCAGTGAGCTTATAGCTGAAGTGTAGACATATAGTATTAATTACATTAATGTGTATTAGTTTCTTTTGTGTATCTTAACTCCAGAAGAGAGGAATGATGGGAAAAAAAAAGAAAAAAAAGGTTTGATCCTGCCCTAGTTACCACAGGACATACTTTCTTAGTTTTTCATTAAATTACATAGATTGACAAGGGTTGATGAATTTTGTCTGTAAAGCGCCAGATAGTTTTAGCCTTTGTAGGACGTACAGTCTCTGCAACATCTATTCAGTTCTCCTGCTGTAGTGGGAAAGCAGCCACAGGCATTACGGAAAGAAAGGAGCATGACTGTGTTTTAGTAAAACTTTATTTTCAAAAACAAGAGGTGGTCCAGATTTGGTCTGTACACTGTAGTTTGCTGACCCCTGGATAGGAAATTGGATGTGTGACATATTTTTACAATTATAGTTAGGATGTTCCTTCTCTATCCATTCTTGAGAAGTAATCACTGATGATGGTTTTTTGTGTATATTTCAAGGCCCTTTTCTATAGTTACCAATAACACCAAAGATTTTTACAGATCTATTAGATACATACATAGAAATGATATAACTTAGAATGCTTAAGATTTTCCATTTTCCTCCCATCACAGATCTCTATGTTAGTACAGGTTGAGTATCTCTTACCCAAAATTCTTAGGAGCAGAAGTGTTTCCAATTTTAGATATTTTTGGATTTTGGAACATTTGCATTACATGTACTTACTAGTTTAGCATCCCATATCCAGAAATTCAAAATGCTCCAATGAGTGTTTCCTTTGAGTGTTGTGTTGGCACTCATATAGTTTCGGATTTTGGAGCATTCTGTATTTTCAGTTTAGGGATGCTCGACCATATACAGAGAGGAAAATGGAAAATATACAGAGAATAAGGAGGTCTTTCTTCCTTATTCTTGGAATGTCTGTATTGAATGGGGATGTAATTTATTTAACTGTTTCACCCTTTATGGGCATTTATAGTGTTTTTTATTTTGTATTACTATAGTGCAGCAGTGAGTGTCTTTGGAACATTTCTGTTGTGCATTTTATTATTTTTATTATGGATCCCTATAAATGAATTGTAAGAGTCAAAGGGTTCATGTGAAATTTTTATTTCAATGAATGCCTATTTAAATTTCTTTTTGGGTTTTCTTATCTTTCAGGAGAACTCTCACCCAGCTCCTCAACAGCCTTCCCAGCCAGTGAAAGATACAGTACAAGGTATACTGTTTTCTCAGTGTATATATTTATTCACTAGAATGATAAATTTGTTTTTATTGTATGTATTTAAGCAGCTGCTTACAGTTACAAATTACGGCTTTGTATGACTGTTGGCTAATAAAATATGTCCAAATGCCATGGACACATTCCACCAAGAATAGTCTCAAAATACTGCATTTTACAAAATGACTGGTCTGAAATCTTTTTTTAAAAAAAAAAAAAACCCCACTATCATGAAAGCCAGAAGAAAGGAAAAAGAAAAGAGGCAGTGGAACTGTTTTAGATGAATGGAGTTTAAGCATGACAGTTAAATGCATTCCATGATCCCTGCCTGGATCTTAAATTTAGGGGAAAAAAATACTAGAAAGGATATTATTGAGATGATTAGAGAAATCTGAAGAAGAGGTGTATGCTAGATAATGTTGTATGAATGTTAAAAATATTTTGAGTGTAATAATGGCATGGGGGTTATGGAGGAGAATGTCTTTGTTCTTAGGAGATACTTGCTGACCTTTAGGAAGTGAACAGCTGCAGTGTTTGCAATTTACTCTCTAGTGTTTAGGGAGAATATTGTACATAGAGAAGGAAGGAGAAAACAAATATTGACAGTTGGTGAACTTTAGTAATGGGCATATGTTTGATTTTATTATTATTTGAAACTTTCCATAGACATTAAACTTTTCAAAACATTGGGAAAAATAGAAAATAACAAACCAAGTTTGGCTTTCAGGTCATAAATTAGTTTCACCAACAGCCTAAGTTAGATAATAGGAACTCCTATAACGGAGATAGGGAAACAATTTTTAAAACTTTGGTATGTGTTATTGATGTCCTTGATATTAATGTTTATGTCATTGATGGGTAAACACAAGGGTTGCTCCCAGTTTGTGGATCCTAGATTATTTGGTTGGGTTTAAATGATTAATCTTCGAAGAATTCACCCTTAGTGAATTTTTTAATCACTTCCACCAGGCTATCTTGCTTAAGATTAAGGTATTGTCTTGCTAGCTTTGCCAAGTATTTCTTGACTTTTCAGTTATTTTTTCTAATTTTGAGTCTAGATGATCAGAACTTTCATGATTTGGAGTGACGAAGAAAATTTAAAATAGCCCAGCAGCTTAGTAAAGTAGTGAGAAGGAGAATGAAATCTGTAGAATTGAAAAGAACAGTTTCTCTACTCAATGCTGAGCTGGATACACAGCAGCAAAAAGATCCAAAATGAGAAAAATAATCATAACATGGGATATATGTTGGCCATCCTCTTATTTATGAATTATGTTCATTACAATGAATCAAACTTCTAACTTAATAAGTAGTGTGGGCCTTCCTCATGTTCCTGAAAGGTTAGATTTAAATTGAATTTGTAATAGAATGCTACAAACAACTGTATACCAACAAATTAGATAACCTAGATGGAATGGACAAATTCATAGAAAGATACAAACTACTAAAAACAGACTCAAGAAGAAATAGAAAATCACAATAGATCTATAACAAGTAAAAAGCTTCAATTAGTTATCAAAAACTACTCACAAAGAAATGCCCAGGACTAGAAGGTTTCACTGCTAGATTCTATCTAGCCTTTAAAAAAGAAATTAGCACTAGCATTTATTATGGTCAACTGATATTCAGGGTACCAAGACAATTGGATGGAGAATGAAAAGTCTTTTGCACAAATGATGCTGAGACAACTGGTTATCCACATGCAAAAGAATGACATTGGACCCCTCCCACCTCATGCAAAATAATATATTAAAAAATTTTTAAATTTATAAAAGGAAATATTTTTTAATACATTATGGGAGTATACTGTTTAAGGAAACCTTATTAACAAATGTGACTATAGCAATAGCTTCCTTAAGCAGTTTCTCTGTTTTGGTTATCTTTTCTCAGATACAGCATTTATTGATGATAATCTTTGGCTTTTTCTTTTTCTTTCTTTTTTCTTTTTTGATGCTTTCAGAAGTGACCAAAGTTCGAAGAAATCTTTTCAACCAGGAAATGCTTTCCCCTTCAAAGAGATCGCTGAAACGGGGGTTGCCTAGAAGCCATTCTGTGTCAGCTGTGGAAGGTCTAGAGGATAAACTTGATAACTTCAAGAAGACCAAAGGTACTACATTTCAGAATAGCTAGGAAAAAAGGAAAGGGAGATTCTGTAAGATTCGTAGTAATATACCATCTTTCTTTCCTGATTTAGTAGTAATGTGAGTCTTCTTCCCTCTTTTCTCTTTCAGTCTAGCTAAAGGTTTGTCAGTTTTGTTAATCTCTCTCTTTTTTTTTTTTTTTTTTTTTGAGACAAGGTCTCGCTCTATCACCCAGGCTGGAGCGCAGTGGCACAATCTTGGCTTACTGCAGCCTCCACCTCCTAGGCTCAAGTGATTCTCCCACCTCAGCCTCCTAAATAGCTGAGACTACAGGAGTACACCACCACACCCAGCTAATTTTTTATATTTTTTTTTCGTAGAGATGGGTTCTTATCATGTTGACCAGGCTGGTCTCAAACTCCTAAAGCAATCTGCTCTCCTTGACCTCCCAAAGTTGCTGGAATTATAGGCATTAGCAAGCACACCCAATTTTGTTAATCTTTTCAAAGAATTTACTTTGGTTTATTGATTTTTCTCTATTGGTTTTCTTTTTTTTTTTTTTTGAGACAGAGTTTCACTCACCCTGTGCCCTGGGCTGGAGTGCAGTGATATGATCTCGGCTCACAGCAACCTCCGCCTCCTAGGTTCAAGCGCATCTCCTGCCTCAGCTTCCCCAGTAGCTGGAATTATAGTTGTGTGCCACCTTGCCTGGCTAATTTTTGTATTTTTAGAAAAGACAGGGTTTTACCATGGTGGCCAGGATAGTGTCCAACTCCTGACCTCAAGTGATACCCGCCTTAGCCTCCCAAGGTGCTTAGGTTACAGGGGTGATCCACTGCATTTGGCCTCTATTGGTTTTCTAATCTCAGTTTCATTTATTTTCTTCCATCTGTTGGCTTTGATTTTTGTTTGCTCTTTTTCCACTTTTTTAAGGTAAAGTTTAAGCTATTTATTTGAGATCTTTTTTAAATAAAGCACTGCTTTAGGCATATCCTATAAATTTTGATATTTTTGTTTTCATTATTTCAAAATACTTTCTAATTTCCCTTGTAATTTCTGCTTTGATCCATTGATTATTTAGGAGTGCATTAATTTCCACATATGTGTACTTCCCAAATTCTCTTCTCTATTGTTTCTAGTTTCATTCTATTGTTGTAAAATATACGTTGTATGATTTCAGTCTTTTTAAACTGGAAACTTACTTTATGGCTTAACATTTGGTCGACCCTAGAGAACGTTCAATGTGTGCTTGAGAAGACTATGAAGGGTTCTATAGATGTGCGTTAGGTCTAGTTGATTTGCGGTATTATTCAAGTCTTCTGTTCCCTTGTTGAGCTTCTGTTTGTTTATTCATATTTAAAGTGGCATATTAAAGTCTCCAGCTATTGTTGAATTATTTCTCACTTCAGTTCTGTCAGTTTCTGCTTCACATATTTTGAGACTCTGTTTTTAGATATATATATTAATAATTATTATGTCTTCTTGATCAGTTGAACTTCGTATCAATAGGTAATGTACTTCCTCTTTGGCAAACCTTTTTTTTTTTTTTTTTTTTTTTAACGGAGTTTCGCTCTTGTTACCCAGGCTGGAGTGCAATGGCACAATCTCGGCTCACTGCGACCTCCGCCTCCTGGGTTCAGGCAATTCTCCTGTCTCAGCCTCCCGGGTAGCTGGGATTATAGGCACACGCCACCATGCCCAGCTAATTTTTTGTATCTTTAGTAGAGACGGGGGTTTCACCATGTTGACCAGGATGGTCTCGATCTCTTGACCTCGTGATCCACCCACCTCGGCCTCCCAAAGTGCTGGGATTACAGGCGTGAGCCGCCGCGCCCGGCTGGATCATGTTTTTTTTAATCTATTCTGCCTATCTCTGCTTTTCAATTGCAGTGCTTACTCCACTTCTATGAATGTAATTACTAATAAGGAACAACTGTCATTTTCTCTGTTTTATACCTTTTTGTTTCTCAATTCCTGTTTTTTGTATTTAGCTAATTTTTGTAGTGTACCAGTTTAATTCCCTTCTTTTTGTGTGTGTGTATTTTTAAGTTATTTTCTCAGTGGTTACCTTGGAGATCACAATTAGCACCTTAAGCTTAAAACATCCTGGCTTTATGAATAAAGCCAACCTCATTTCAATAATACATACTCTTACTATATATTTCTGTCTCTTCTTCATATTGTTATAGACTGCAGCTTTATACACTGTGTATCTGTTAATACAGACTTAAATTATATAGGATAAAAAGAAACAAAATTACCATAATGCTGACTTTTATATTTATGTAGTTACCTTTACCATTGTTATTTCTTCTCCTGGCTTTGAGTTATTGTCTAGTGCTTTTCATTTTAGCTTTTCTTATAGGGTAGGTCTACTGAGCATGAACTCCCCCAGCTTTTATCTATTTGGAAACGTGTTACTTTTACTTTATTCCTTAAGGACTTAGAATTTTTGGTTGACAGTTTTTTTCCCCCCTTTCAGTACTTCAAATGTGACATTCGCTGCTTTTTGGTCTCCCAGATTTCTGATGAGAAATCAACTATTAATCTTACTAAGCTGCTTCTCTATTGTTCCTTCCCAGATTTTCTTTGTCTTTGGGTTTCAACACTTTGACTATAATGTGTCTGAGTGTGAATCTCTTTTGAGTTTATTCTGCTTGGAGTTCATGGAACTTTTTTGGATGTGTACATTCATGTCTTCATCAGATTTTGGAAGCTTTTAACCATTATTCAAAAAATTTTCTGCCACTTTTGGACTCATCTCCTCCTTGGATTCCTATGATATATGTGTTGTTACACTTGATGGTGTCCTACAGGTCCCTTAGAATTTGTTCTTTTTTTTTTTTTTTTTTTTTTTTTTTCTTTCTGCTCAGGCTGGATAATTTCAGTTACCTTATCTTCAAGTTCACTAATTCTTCTGCCAGCTCAAATCTGTGGTTGATCTCTTCCAGTTAATTTTTTCATTTCAGTTATTGTAATTTTCAGCTCCAGAATTTCTATTGGATTCTTTTGTTTTGTTTTTTTTTTTTTGAGACAGAGTCTCACTCTGTCGCCAGGCTGGAGTGCAGTGGCGTGATCCTGGCTCACTGCAACTTCCATTTTTCGGTTTCAAGCAATTCTCCTTCCTCAGCCTCCCGAGTAGCTAGGACAACAGGCATGCACCACCACACCCGGAGAGTTTTTTGTACTTTATTAGTAGAGATGGGGTTTCACCATGTTGGCCAGGATGGTCTCAATCTTTTGACCTCGTGATCTGCCTGCCTTGGCCTCCCAAAGTGCTCGGATTACAGGCTTGAGCCACCGTGCCTGGCCTGGATTCTTTTTTATAATTTCTGTTGTTTCACTGATATTCTCATTTTGTTCATATTTCCATTCATTTCTTATATGTGGTTTAAGTTAGCTCATTGTGCATATTTAGAAAAGTTGATTGAAAAAAAAAAGTTGATTGAACATCTTTGAGTAATTCCAATGTCTTGGCTTCCTCAGGGATGGTTTCTACTATCTTTTCTGGTAAATAGGCCATATGTTTCCTTGTATATTTTGTAATCTTTTATTGAGGACTAGTTACTAGGGATATTACAATGTGGTAACTGCATGGAGGTCAGATTCTCTAACCCCTCAAGGATTCCCGTTCTTTGCTTATTAAGGGCTTCAGCTATTCATTTGTGCCTTTTCCAAACTATTTGTGTAAAGTATGTATTCCTTGTTGTGTGTGAAGTCACTGAAGTTTCTATTTTCTCTGTGGTCAGACAGTGACCTGAGAAGAATTTCCTTAAATGTCTGATTCAAAAAAGGAGGTGGGGGAAGGTATGTCTGTCCCTTAATCTTCTGGTATTTGGGAGAAAGCTACTGTAGCCTAAGAGAGCTGAAACCAAGGCAGTGTCTGCACTGGTCCTACAGGAATCTGCCTGACTGACCAAAGCATGCAACCCCCCATTTTTGGAGGTAATGTACTTTGTCTTTTGTAACCTTTCTTGGCTTACAACCTTGTCCTCACTGTCTGCCCTAGTACCAGCCAGCTGCTCCTGGAATGTGGGCTGCTATCCCAATAGCTACATCAGGGCTGAGAAAAGGAAAATGGTAGCTAGCTCATGCACATCATTCCCTTCCTAAAGATCAGCAGCCTCTCCCATTATCAAGCACTTCCCAGTGCTCAATCAAGTTCCCAGGTTCCAAAATTGTGGATTCTGATTTTTTTTTCTAATTTACTGGTTATTTTGGTAGACGAACTGACCCGCCAGAGCTTTCTTCTCCATCATGTTGCATAAGCTCACTCCTCTTGGAGATTACAATTCAGGTATTAACTTATAACAGCCTAGTTCTCATTGATACCAATTTAACTTTGAGAGTTTATAAAAACTTGGCTATTGTATAGTTCTAACTATCCTTAGTTCTAGATTGTCAAGCAAATTACATTTCTAGACATTGTATGCCCATCAACAGTGATTTATAATCATTGCTTTATCTTTTAAATCACAGGGGAGAATGTTTACAACTAAAAAACACTTTTATACTGTCATATAGTTTACCAGTGCTGTTTAACTCTTTATGTGGATTTGAGTTACCCTAGTGCCCTTTGCCATCAGCCCACAGGACTCCTTTTAGTATTAATTACAGGGTACATCTGCTAATGACAAATTCTGTTTTATTTTGTTTCAATCTGGGAATATGCTGATTTTGCCTTCATTTTTGAACAATCGTTTTATTGCACATAGAATTCCTGGTTGAGTCTCTTTTCCCTCAGCACTTTGAATATGTCATCACTGCCTTTTGTCCTTTGTTTCTGATGAGAAACCAGCTACTAATCTCATCAAGGATCTATACACAATGAGAAGCTGCTCTCTGCCTTCTTTAGAGATCCTCTCTTTTTCACTTTTGATTGATTATGATTTGTCTGAGTTTGGATCTCTTTTACTTTATTCTACTTGTACTGAGTTTCTTAGATGTGTAGTGTCTTTCATCAGATTTGGGTCATTCTTAGTCAATATTTATTCAAATACTCTTTTTGCCTCCTCTTCTTTATCCTTTCCTTCTGGGACTCCCAGTATGTGTATGTTGTGCTTGATGGTGTCACAAGTATCTGAAGCCCTGTTCATTTTTCTTCATTCTTTTGTCTTTATCTTCCTTAGACTGAATCATCTCAATTAACATGTCTTCAAATTTCTTGACTCTTTCTTCTGCCACCTCAAATCTACTGTTGAGGCCCTGTGATGAACTTTTCATTTTAGCTATACTTCTTAACTCTAGAATTTCTATTTATTTATTATTTATTTTAAATGATTTCCATCTGTTGATAATCTCTGGCAAGTCATTGGAATCATGTTTTAGATCTTTAGATATGGTTTTATTTAGTTATTTTTCATTCAAAGCTACTGAAAATCAATTCTTTAGTTCTTAGAACATATTTAAAACAGCTGATTTAAAGTCTTGTTCTAGTAAGTCCAATGTCTGGACTTTCTCAGGGACAGATTCTGTTGGCTAATTTTTTTTCCCCTGGGTACAGCCATACTTTTTTGTTTCTTTACATGACTCATAATTTTGTTGACAACTGGATTTTATGGGGGACGGGGTAGATGGAGTCTTGCTGTGTCACCCAGGCTGAAGTATAGTGGTACAGTCTTGGCTTACTGTAGGCTTAACCTCCCAGGCTTAAGCAATCCTCCCACCCACCTTGGCCTCCCAAGTAGCTAGCTGGACTACAGGCATGCCCCACTACTCCTGGCTAATTTTTGTATTTTCTTTGTAAAGATGGGGTTTCACCACTTTAGCCAGGCTGGTCTTGAACTCCTGGACTCAAGCAATCTGCCTGCCTCAGCCTCCCAAAGTGTTGGATTATAGGCATGAGCCACTGCATCCAGCATAGACAGTTTAAACAACATAATGAAGCAGCTGTAACAATCAGACCCACCCCACCCCTGCCAGGATTTGTTATTGTTTTTGTTCAGTGACTTTTCTGAACTGATTCTTGAAATTTTGTATTGTTTGTTACATGTGGCCACTGAAGCCTCTGCTCAGTTGTCTTAGTGATCAGCTAATAACTAGACTTCTTTAAATGCCTGGAACCCATATGTTTCACAGCCCCTGCTGAGGGGCTCTGTGTTTTGGGTCATTCCTTCAGCACTCAGCCAGGCAGCTTAGAATTCCACTTCACTTTGTTTTGCCAGAGCCTTAAGGTTAGATATAGGTGACAGCTTACTGGCTTCTCAAGTCTATACTTGGCACATGCACAGTACATGCGTGTGGACTTTTGGATGCCTAAGAATGTGTCAGAGGTTTGCAAAGTTCCCTATGATGTCTCATTCCCCAGTTTTCCCAGTTAAACTTTTGGTCAGCTTGTTATTGCACCAAATGTTACCACTGCCTCAGGCAGCTGGGACATTTAACAATTGCTGCTGAAGGTTTTCAGTAAATGCTGTAAGGGAAAAAGGTGTTTTACACTTGTCTGAGTTTTCAGAGAAGCCTTGATTTGACCAGGATTCTCCAGGGAGCTGCCAGACAGGTTAATGGATGACAGTGATCTGAGAATGGAGCTTTCGAGGAGCTCCAGCCCCATTCTGCCCTGCCCAGAGGCTGCTGGCTCTTGGTTTTCAATGTGATTAGGGGCTGTTGATTTTTAAAGCTACCCTAGGGCTGCAGGAAGGGGTAGGGGCCAAGGCAAGTTAAAGCTTCCTGAGATTCTGCTATTTTTCTTGAACAAATACTCCTTAGATTGTTGCAAAACTTTGAGTTCTGGAAAAGTTCATTTTTGACCATTTTTCCCAGTGATCTCTGTTCCTTTATGGAGGAGAGTGTTCAGAGTTCCTTACCTCACCACTCTTACTGGTATCACTCCTCTTTTCTAGTAACTTTAAGCTCACTTTCAATCAGTCCTCCCATAAGTAGCTTGGCTACCTACTCTACTGAGAAATTTTGTGCCACCTAGGTTTACCTTAATAATTAACATTTATGTGGCCTATCAGCATTTTTATGTATTTCATTTAATCATAAATACTAGAACCACCAACTAGGTATTAGCCTTAACAGGTGAGCAATTTTCACTTTTTCAGGAGTGCTTGTTAAATTGTCTATTTAAAATGCTTTTCTTGTTGTTTTTTGAGATGAAGTATTCCTCTGTCGCCCAGACTGGAGTGCAGTGGCATAATCTTGGCTCACTGCAACCTCCGCCTCCTGGGTTCAAGCAATTTTCCTGCCTCAGCCTCCCAAGTAGCTGGACTTGCACACGCCACCATGCCTGGCTGATTTTTGTACATTTAGTAGAGATAAGGTTTCATCATGTTGACCAGGCTGGTCTTGAATTCCTGACCTTAAGTGATCAGCCTCCCAAATTCTGGGATTACAGGCGTGTGCCACCATGCCCAGCCTATATTTACATTGTCTTATGTCATTTTTTAATCTCTAATAGTGCTGCCAGACTGTTCCGTCATGTTGAGTGGAGTCTGGTAAGCACAGAACTTAGCCCAAAGACCATTAAGATCCTCTCTAGCTAGGTAATAAGCCATACAGAAGTTCAAACTGCTCCCTTACCCTTGCTGCTGCTTCTTGATGATGTTAAATGACATTTATGATTTAAGCTGTTTACATTTTAGGTTATCACAAACTGCTGACGAAGAGTGTGGCTGAGACTCCAGTGCATAAGCAGATCTCCAAACGGCTGCTGCATAGACAAATCAAGGGCAGGTGAGTGACATCCCCGTCCAGGCTTGTTCACACCCACACCTCCTCGAAGCGACCTGTGAGCCACTACTTGCCTTCTCTTGATCTTCGTGACTTAAATCTTAACTCTGTTGCTTAAAACCAAGAGCATTCTATAAACTCTCCATGGGAACAGGAGAATCATATAAAATGTACACTTGTCTGGCCTCAAGTATTTTGAGATTGATCCATGTTGTTGCATGCAGTAATTCTTTTTTTTTTTTTTTTTTTTTTTTTCTCTGAGAAGTTTTCCATGGAATGGATACTCCACCGTTTTTAAATCCATTCATCTGTTAACATGGGGAAGGTGGAAGTCTGCAATCCCAACTCAGCCTTTGCTAACAGAGCTGTAGGTGGGGCTGCAGTTTTCTTCTGCAGCAATTGGTTGGAATAGGGCAGTTACTGTCTGAATGTTTTCTGTCTTGCTTTGCTTCCCATTCCTAGTTCTTTGGCTTGAGAGCTCTCCTTCCTTAAGGCATTTCTGCTCCTGGTATATCTGGGTTGTCAGCTTCTCTGGCATGCAACCTGGGAGTGTAGGCAGCAGTCAGAAAACGGAGCTCATGCCCTCCTCGGGTCTCAAGGTCCCCAGCCAGGCTGCCTCTGCCTTTCAGAGTTATCTTCTGCTCATTTTATAGATAATGTCACAGGATTTTAGCTCAATTTCAAGGGTAATAGAAGCACACATACTTCTTGTCAAGAATCTATCCTGACATTATTTGTATATGGATTTTACATACTTGTGAAGTTTATAAGTTAAATTGCAAAAAGTGAAATTGGTGGGTCAGAGGCATATATATTTTCAATAAATTTTTCTACAAAGTGTTTGGCACATTGGCTGAAATGAAGGATCCTCAACAGAAACTTGAATGTTGCTACTCATTACTGTGATAGTCTGATATTTTGGTATAATTTTTTTTAATACATGAATGGAATTTGTTATTCTGATGTTGTAAAATTGCTTTCCAAAAAAAAAAACCCCACATTCTAACCATCTCACTTTTTTTTTGAGTCATTTTCACTCTGTTGCCCAGGCTGGAGTCCAGTGACACAATCTCAACCCACTGCAAACTCTGCCTCCTGAGTAGTTGGGACTACAGGTGTATGCCACTGCACCCAGCTAATTTTTTTTTTCTTTTTTAAGATGGAGTCTCACTCTGTCGCCAACCTGGAGTGCAGTGGTATGATCTCTGCTCACTGCAACCTCCATCTCCCGGTTTCAAGCAATTCTCCTGCTTCAGCCTCCTGAGTAGCTGGAACTACAGGCATGCACCATCACACCAGCTAATTTTTGTGTTTTTAGTAGAGACAGGGTTTCACCATGTTCGCCAGGCTGATTTTGAACTCCTGACTTCAAGTGATCCGCCTGCCTCAGCCTCCCAAAGTGCTGGGATTACAGGCGGGAGCCACCATGGCTGGCCTCCCTCTTGAACAATAATCATGTATAAGAGTGCTTACCAGCACTGGTTTTATCAGACCCTGCAATCTTATAAAATAAGAAGCAGCTGCTCTCTTTAATGAGTGTGAATTACAGGTGATATGGAATAATCCTTGTGCATGTGGTTCCTCAAGGTCCTCTGATCCTGGTCCTGATATTGGTGTTGTTGAAGAGTCCCCTGAAAAAGGAAATGGTGAGTGTTACCTCTTTTTGTTTTTAATGCAATCTATCCTCTTTCTATGAAAACCTTTCTGCATTTATCGTTACTTGGCATATCCTAAGATATTTTACAGAAATTGTGCTGGCTCTGAGTCCACAATGCAGCTCAGTATTTTTGTGTTTTTAGTAGAGACAGGGTTTCACTATGTTGGCCAGGCTGGTCTTAAACTCCTGACCTTGTGATCCACCCGCCTTGGCCTCCCAAAGTGCTGGGATTACAAGCGTGAGCCACTGTGCCCAGCCACACCATTCTTACGGTGGCAGTGAATGAGACTTCTGAAGTCTAGTGGGTCAGTGTTTTTTTAATACCTTGTTAGGACCATATATCAAACCCCTCTTAGTTTTTTAAGAGACACTTCAAAAGTCTCTTAAAGCCAATAGCTTATTGAATTTCCATCTTATATTATATAAATTTTGCCCATTTTTGACAACATGGGAAAATGTCAAGCTTGTAACTCTTTGGTTACTTACTGTGGTTCTGATTTTACAGAAATAAGCTTGAGACGAAGTCCTCGAATCAAGCAGTTGTCATTTAACAGGACACATTCTGCTTCCTTCTATTCTGTGTCTCAGCCGAAGTCTCGAAGTGTGCAAAGAGTCCACTCATTCCAGGAAGATAAGTCAGGTAACATACAGGCCCCTGTGCCTTCGCAAGTCCATGCTGATTTGGTGGGAAGTCTTTTTTGGGAAAAGAAGCATGAAATTTGACATATTCTTTTCTTGACATTGGAGAATTAGGATAGGGATGTACAGTTGAAGTTCAGGGCAATGACTAGATGAACAGTCCATGGCCTTTATACTCAGTCATCCCTCAGACTCCTACAGCTGGTCATCCATGCTATTGTTATAGGGAGCTCATTCATTCAAGAGGAAGCTACCCATAATTTCCCATATGAACAGATCCTACACGTCAGTATCGTAGGTGGAAGATGATATCTGTGTTTCTATTCTTCATTCTTCTCTCCATGGTTAGCTTGCTAATAGATGTGTTTATTATTTTATCTTTTTTTGAGACAAGATCTCACTGTTGCCCAAGCTGGAGTTCAGTGGCGCAAGCACAGCTCACTGTAGCCTCAACCTCCCAGGTAGCTGGGACTGCAGGCGTGTACCACCACACCCATCCAATTTTTGTGTGGTTTTTTTTGGTGTTTTTTTTTAGATGGAGTCTTGCTCTGTCGTGCAGTGGCACAGTCTCAGCTCACTGCAACCTCCACCTCCCAGGTTCAAGTGATTTTTCTGCCTCAGCCTCCCGAGTAGCTGGGATTACAGGTGTGTGCTGCCACACCTGGCTCATTTTTGTATTTTTAGTAGAGACGGATTTCACTACGTCGGCCGTGCTGGTTTTGAACTCCTGACCTTATGATCCATCTGCCTCAGCTTCCCAGATTGTTGGGATTACAGGCATAAGCCACCACACTCAGCCATTTTTTGTGTTTTTAGTAAAGACAGGCTTCACCATGTTGCCTAGGCTGGTCTCGATCTGCTGAGCTCAAGGGATCCACCTGCCTCAGCCTCCCAAAGTGCTGGGATTGCAAGTTTGAACCACCAGCCAGATACGTGTTTTTATATTTAAATTAACAAATTATTTCAGTTGCCTACATTTTCTAACATAGTAGCTGGGGTGAATATGAAGTCTTATTAAAATTTAAAAAGGCAGCAGTTACTGCAGTTGCTGCCCTAATTAGGTGGGATTTTCCCCCGAGTTGCTCTAAAAATTATTGCCTTCTTATTAGATCTGGCTGTTTTTATAGTACTGGATGAACAGGAGTTGAGAAAGAATTAAATGTTGTTGCTGTTTTTGACTTGCAGACCAAAGAGAAAATTCTCCAGTCCAAAGTATTCAGTCTCCTAAGAGTCTTCTTTTCGGGGCAGTGTCTGAGATGATCAGCCCCTCAGAAAAGGGTTCAGCTCGAATGAAAAGGCGTTCAAGAAGCACACTGGGTTCAGAGATACCTGCAGCTTACCAGGTATAAAGTTTCTGTGACCTTTGAAACAGAACAGTCTCCTGGAACACAGACATGGCCAAGGAACTCAGGAGTCCATTAGGGAAGAGAAAGCAGGTGATCTCTAGATTTGAGGTGATTGGGTGGAGCCATATGAATGATTATTAGACATGTAGGAACTTGAAGCAGCAGGTTTGACTGAAGCCATGGTAGGGGAGGAGACAGAGATGATGTCATCTGTTCTCTTGGTTTCATCTACCGTTTATATTATATTCTACACAGATGTCTTTCTGGAGTCTGACACTCATCTTTTCCATTTGATTGCTTACTCGATCCAGTCACCACCATTAGAAAACTGGGAGTCTTCCTTCGCCCTCTCCCCAGCCATAGCCATTCAGCTGAGTCTTGCCCATTTTATTTACAAACGGACTTTCTTTTTTTTTAGACAGTCTTACCGTTTTGCACAGGCTAGAGTGCAGTGGTACAATCTGGGCTCACTGCAACCTCTGTCTCCCAGTTCAAGCGATTCCCCTGCTTTAGCCTCCCAAGTAGCTGGGATTACAGGCATCCACCACAATGCCCAGCTAATTTTTGCACTTTTAGTAGAGACGGGGTTTCACCATGTTGGCCAGGCTGGTCTCAAACTCCTGACCTCAAATCATCTGCCCGGCCTACAAACTGACTCTTGTACCCACCCTTTCTTCTCCCTCCCTGCAATTCCTACCCTCGTTTAGGTCTACCTAGAATACTTCAACAGGCTTTTCCCTCTCAAAGGGAAATCCTCCAACCAGAGGTCAGAGTGATCTTTCTGAAATATTCCTCTCAGTTTGCTTAAAATGTTCACTTTGCTTAAAGCTATATAGACTCCCTGTCTGCTAAAGCAAGCTTTTTTTTATCTTTTCCTAAATGGAACTCTCGCCTTCAAAAATAATCACCTTTGTTTGGAAACCCAACAAATTGCTTGGAGGTTGGGGGACATGGAGCTCTGGAGAAAGTTTTGAAAACCATAGATCTGCATGACCAAGATCAGTCTCCTCCCCCCTGGCAGGCACGGTCCTCCGTGGTCTGGTCCCTCTGGCCTCAGCCCTTACTCCTCCCCCGTTTACCATCCCAGCATCATCAGGCTGGGTGCTGTCCTGCACAGCTGCTGCATTTCACTTCCGTGCCTTTGCTGGTATTGTTCCTATGCCTAAAGCCCGCCTCACCCCCACATTTCCCACGTTTGCCTTCCCCTGCTGATACCCATGCTTGAAGACCTGACCCGGCTGGGTTAGGCAGCCCTCCTTTGTGCTCTGTGATGTCCCTTGCACGTCCCTGTCACTGCACCGGCCACACTGTATTTTCTTTTACCTGTGTATGCCCTGCTGCACAGGAAATGCCAGTTAGACTGGGAGTCCCCGATAGGATCAAGGAAGGTTGTAGGAAAGATAAGCGTCATCTCCTTACCTGTTGGAGTTTTTCACTATTTTTTGCAAGAAGGCAGGGAAATTTTTTGTTGGGGAGTATCTTTCCTGAGACATTATCTTTGCTGCTGCACCTTCTATATCCTCATATTCCATGTCCCCAACACACAGTGCCTGGCGCATTGCAGGTGCATAAGCACATGTTGAATGAGGGTGAGCAGCAAAGAAGGTGGCTCCTGGAGGCTGCCTTAGGCAAAGATCTGAAATAGCTGCCTCATTTGAAGAGAAGGAAGAGCTCGAGAATAGCTGCAGTGATAGAATGATTCCATTAGAGGCAAAAAGAATGGTTTAGCAATATGTAGATGATTTACACTATTTGTTCTTAGGACAAACAAAACTTGGATAGTGTTTGGTCCTAGAAAAAGTGGACAAGTAAAATCTGAGCCATTTATTGGAAACGGGTCACTATTTGAGATTTCCATCTTTAGATCATGTTTTGGCTGACTATAAATCTCCCATTTGGGCTTAGAGATTACTAAAACACTTCAGAGATCATGAGTTATAATCAAGCACTGAAATAAGCATTTCTCTTTTCAGACTCCCAAGAAGAGTCACCAGAAATCTCTGAGCTTTGCTCAAACTTCAAGAAGTTTCTCTCATACACCACAAACTCCATCGAATATTCCAGAAAGGCCGCAGAAGTCCCCTGCAAAAATGACCCCTACAAAGCAGGCAACTTTAAAGGAGTCCTTAAAAGACTCCTCCTCACACATCTGTGAGTCACCATCATATTCAAAAATCACTCCTCAAAAACGATGCACCCAGGCAGGAGAAGGCACTTTTCTTGAAACAAAGACATCAAGAACTCCTCGGTTTTCACCAAATTGTACTTGGCCACATTCAGTGGATTCCAGTCCAGAGAGCCCCTGCTGTCCAGCACCCCCAACTTCATCCACTGCCCAGCCCAGGAGAGAGTGTCTCAGTCCCTTCAGAGACCCTCTCGGAACACCCCCGAGAGCAGCAGCCTTCATAGGCATGCCTCAGAATCAAACACACCAACAGCTCCCTGTCCCCAGAGCTGCTTGGGCAGAGGAACCAGCCCAGAAACTGAAGAATAAAGCTATCAAAACCCCAAAAAGACCAGGGAATTCAAGTATGACTTCTTCCCCACCTGTTACACCAAAGAAACTATTTACCACTCCTTTATGTGATATTTCCAAGAAGCGTCCATTTGGGAAATCTAAAACAGAGTCTCCTTCCCCAGGAGAACTGGATGGGAAAGAGCCCCAGATGTCACCCAGTGTAACTGCATCTCTCTCCTGCCCTGTTCTCTCAACGCCACCCAGACTCTCACGGAGCACTACATTGGACACCATCCCTCCTCTGCCCCCTTGTAAAGCTGGGAAATGGTGTAGAAAGACCTCTGATCCCAGAAGGAGCATCCTGGAGTGTCAGCCCAATGCCTCTGCTACTCCTGCGGCTGGCACAGCTGACAGCCCAGGTGCCACCACAGACTCTAGAGATGACCAGAAGCGACTGAACCTCTCTCCTCAGTCTCCTGAAAGACGGAGCTACCCAGGCCCTGGTCTCAGGAGTGACCGGCATGCATCCTC